CCTAATCGCGTTAGCGGGCACCAGACCTCTCTATCAATATTATGCCCTGGTACTAGTGCATACCTGCCAACTCTTCGGATTTTCCAGAAGATTTTTTTTCATATTTAAAGTGGTATTAAATATATACTATTTTTTCTTTTATAAACTTTATTTTTTAATGATTTTGATCACCACTATTCTTACAAAAATTAAGCACATATATTAATATGCATTACTATCATGGTTGTCAACTTAAGTTTTCTCAAATACAACGTATTTGTTTGCTTAAAATTGAAGTTTTAATTCCATTTTAATACCACTGGGGAAAATGATAATGGAAGGGATTAAAAGTTGGCAAGTACGCTAATGGCATAGGGATGAACAAGTGAATCATGAGTTCATGCTTATGATCAATTTAAAATGTCAATTGCAGTGGTAGTTACGATTGAGTAATTAAAGAGATTATGAATAAATTGAGTTTCTACCACATTTATATTCGCCCGGACCAACCCTACTTTTGCATTAGGATGTCACGAGGCAAAATAAATGTAAAATAAGATGACTAATAAATAGCAGAAATCTATTAAAAGATAAAAATTAGCAACTTTTTATAGCATATAAACAATTAACTGCTTCCAATAAATACAAAGAAGAGTTTTCGCTTTTTATATGAATAGTTTTTAATGTATGTCATTGTGGTAGTTCCGATTATGTAAATAAACATGGTTTAAGTTTCGACAATAGTTTACATTTTTAGTTACTCCTGTCAACTCTGCTGTTGCTGGATATGGTCGATAGCTCGGTATTTGACGCGAGGCGCCACTAAGCGACTTGTCGAATCTGTTGTGTCATACGCTAGAAGACATGTGTCAAAAAAGTTCAAAGATGATGAAACTTAGATAAAAGTCCTTAGTAGAATTAGACATGAGTTGGAAGGACTCCGCATTTAGAAATATCTTTAAATATGAGTTTAACTTTTATATATTTATAATGGTAGTAAGTTTTGCGATTTGCATTTTTGCTTTTGATAAATTAAATTCGTTTTAGAATGATTTTGATCACTACTTTACGTAACCTATTTGTACAATTATATAAAACTTGCAAATCAGGCCGTAATTTAAATAAGTGCTAACAAAATTAATAAAATTGAGATTATGTTTTTAAATATTTCTCTACAATTAATCCTTTTTTACTAGTGTTGTCCTTTGAAAATAACGTTTCCTTTTCTTGGAAAAAATAAATGTTTGAAAACAAATTTTTTTTCAGCGCTATTTATAGATTCAAACCAAATGAACTTCTAAATCAGCCTTATCGCAATAATTTTTTTTCTTCTTAAAATGTCAATAAGTAAATGTGGAGAACTGTTTTTATCAATATTAAATCAGGCACTCTATTTTAAATTTTGAAAATATGTTATCATTAAAAAGATTCCTTAAAAATTAAAACAAATTTTCGAACAGAAAGAAGAGATATCCAAACGGAAAATGTTAAAAGAACTAATAAATGCCATAATTTCTAGAAACGCTAATAGATTGTTTCAGCATTCTATAGAAAAGTATTGTCATTTCCTTTAAGCATGTCACATTTTGTAGTAGCACTTTTCGTATTTTACTGTTCGCATGAATGCAATGCTTTTAATGGATTACATTCGAATGCATACAAAACAAAATGAAAATAACACAGAATATGTACCGAAACTGACAAATCATGCAGCATCAAAAAACGAAAAACAATTAGAACCATAAATATATAGCTTTTTAAGTTAAAACACCTCAGCGGGTAATTTGTGTCACTGGATTTCACGATTTTTCATTGCGTTATTTATTTATTCCTTTTCTTTTGCTCTTACTATATATATTTAAACTTTTTTGTAAACTGCAACTGTCACTTCTTTTCCTTTGTTTCTACATACAGCTTCCAAACAATTTGCAGATTCAAGGTGATATGAAGCTGCTAAGAATAGAGCAACGTTTCATTTATTTTTTATTATTCATTCATTAATACATTTCCTCCTTCAATGACATTGAAAAAAATTCTAACTCTTAGGTTCGGAAATAACATTTGATTCTTTTTTCATTTGCTTTGCAGAACAGCTGCTACTAAAATTAAAATGAAATTCAAAATTCAGTTTCAATAAAACTTACTAGTTCTTTGAGTGTTGCTTTTGATTTGATTTGCAGGTACCACGAAGTTTCAAATGGAATAGGGTGTTATAATTGAAGTTTAGTAGCAATAAACTAATCGAATTTTTATAGGATTTAACTGCAGGTAAGTTAATTTCATGTAAGTTTAGATTTATTTACTTTATTTTCATATTTTTATAACCGTTGTTGAACAGCCTACCCGATTTTTAGTGTGCAGCTACCAGTGTTTAACTCCTCAGACTTGCAGTTTTAAACCCAATCCAGAGGACAACCTTCGTGGACACTTTTTGATGTAAATAAGCAGAAATTGCGTTACATGAAGTGGAAAACCACGATATAACTTTTGTTGAACAACCTACCCGATTTTGAGTGTGCGACTAAGAATGTTCAACTCCGAATGTTCAACTCCCATTTTGAACTCAATCTAGAAGACAGCCTTCGTGGACGCCTTTTATGGAACAAACCAGAATTTGCGTTACACGGAGAGGAAAACTACGAAAACCTCCGATTGTTCACCTAAGGTCGACCGCACATTGAGGTAGCAAGCAGGAAGCGAGTGAAATACGGAAGGTGGGGTAAATTTGTTTCCCTTAGCTTTCCACTAGCAAGGGCACATCAAGGGAGTGAAGGGTTTTTCCCTCTAGGAGGCTGACAACTCCTACAAATTAGGTTCGACGCCAAACAACAAACCTCTCAAATAGGTTCGTTGTTATATTTGCCTCCCGTAAAATCTTGTCTCCTCTTCGCACGAGATTTTGTTTCGCTCAAAATGAGGGACGATCCTGAATTGAATTAAAAATATTAGTTACGAATGTAATGTTAGGAATATAAATGTAATAAACAATATTTCTTAGAAATAAATCAATTTAATTATTTTTCACTGAGAATTTGAAGTTTAAATAGGATTTGTACTAGTTTTGTATGTACTTCCGTTTTTGTAAAAAGAAAAAGAAAATCCTTTTCTTCTTCCTTTTTTTTGAGGTTATGTTTAGAAAAATTTCAACTACAGTGTTAATCGAATAATAAATATATAAAAGATTTATATAAGTCTTGAACAAAATCCATTAATGGAAGAAAAAATAGAGTGGAAATATTTTTCTCTACATTAAAAAATTTCATTAGTGATGTAAAATTTTCGAAAATTTTCTCTTGAATAATATCTAGAGAATATTGTTTTAGAAGTTAATTACAATAAAGTCATACAAGGAATTTATTTTATATAATTTAATATTGTTTGGAAAATAAAAATAAATTCGTAGTAAACTAACTAAAAACTTTAAAAACAATGCTCAGTAGAACAATTTTAAGTGCATAAAATTGTTTTTAATTAAAATGACAGGCATAAATTATGGTTTCAAAAATTAATTTTTAAAGCTGATTAATCACATTACAAAAAAAAGACGCCCTTCCTTAATTCTATTTTTTTTTAATTTAAAAATTATATTTTTTAATGGCTCTTGATAATATTTAAGTATTTTTAATTAATAGTATTTGGTGATTAATATCTATGAAGGCTTTTCCCTTAGTATGGCTAATTATGAAATGCTATTCTCATAGTAAATTAAATTACATTTAATACAAACGTAGAAGAACAATTCTGTGAACCCAAAATTGTTTTAAAAAAAATTGTTAAGAAATATGAGTAATCAGTTTCAAGAATAAATAAACCTTTTTTTTAAAGAAAAGAAAAAGAAACTGTTTATTTTCACAACTTTAAAAGTTAATTTCTTTCTAAAAATGTTCTGAAAAGTTTTAAATTTTCTATTTACATTTTAATTTAATTAATAAAAATAGCTTTTCATCATCTGAGAATGAAGAATTTAAAAAAAACTTTCTTCCAGTTAATTTAGACTTAATTAATGGTTTTCTATTTTGCTAAGCATATACATATATATACATATATATATATATATATATATATATATAGTATATTATGCTTT